TCCTCTTTCATCTCTGTATCATGACAAATTCACCATGACTTTCAGTTGGTGAATAAATTAAAGGAATAAGTCAATCAGTCAAACTGATTGGCTGGGTTTTTGGTGTGAGATTTCTGCATTGGAAACAAGTCAATCACTCACGCTTCTGTTGCACACAAAATAATAATTTTCGACTTGTAGTATCTCTTACTTTTGACAAACTGTTGCAGATGTTGTAAAGCTCTAGTGCATCAGAATGAAACACACCAAGAACAGAGTTCTCACTTAGGCCTGTTTTAAGTTCCTGAGGACACAGAAAACAACAATCAAACAAACAAACAAACAAGCAACATGATAAACGAATGGGTGAGTGGGTGGGTGGATGGGTGGGTGGGTGGGTGGATGGATGAATGGATTAATTAACCTATGAATAAATGTATGCATGAACAAACAAAAGTACAAGCAAATATACATTCCATCTAACCAATTACTATTAAAATTTCTTGAATGATTAATACTGGTGTGTTTCAAATGCAGTCTGTTAGTAAAAGTCTTTAATTTAGATAGACAACTTACAACAAGAGGATGTGTCTACTTACCCTAAGGATTATCCTGATCAGCCATTTCTAAAATCACAAGAACTTTTTATTAAGTCATGTACGTTAAATGCTCATAGGGCACAGTACAATTAGGAATAAGTGAGCCTTTATTGTAATATATTTCCTTAGGCAACCAAGGGTACTTATTTGATCTTTGATACTGTGGTCTTTGGTTTGATTTCTCCTATTTGAGTAGAGTTTGTAGAGTAGGGTCTCTGCCTTCATTAAAGGTTTTTTCTTCAGTTCCTTTATCACTAAAACCTAACAAGCTAATTTCATTCAATCAATGCATTAGCCTTGGCCTGATTTTGATCAACCCAGAGGTTGTTTCAGGGTATATTCAGTAAAATCAGAAGGTTTGAAGTTTGAACAAAATCAGTTTCCCAGGGAAGGAGGGCGTGGGGGGACTCTATTGTTTTGCCTCCTGTCATGGCTGCCATCACATAAGGGTAGGAAGCCTCTATAGTGTTTTACCTGCTCCATTGCAGTTGTGTTCCTTAAGAGAATTTGAAGAGACTTTTTCACTTCATCTCGTTTTTTCTCTAGATTTGCTTGTGCAATGTCATCAAGGTGTTTGTTGATTTGTTCCACATTAAAACTATTGGGGAAAACAAAAATGATGTATGAAAAACCCAGAAGGTTAAATAAGCAATTTATTTTAACCAGGAATTATGTATTTCTTGGTTTAAGTTCTTGAACAATTGGGACTTGTTGTTTTGGGATGTATCTTTAATAAATTTCATTGACTTTTCAGCTGTTAATTCTTGTTGATACTTGTGAGTTGTTATCAAGCTTTCGTCATTGCCATTAATGTTGGCATGTTTATTATTATTGCATAGTAATATTCACCTTCCTTTTTCTGGGCATCTGTTCTTCAAAACAAAGTATGCTACACTTGCAAAGTCTCCAAGGGCCCCCTGATGATCAAATGCAATAACCTTGCTTATCATAATTGACTTGGATCTACCTGACAATAAACTTTTAAATTATCAATTATCAAATTGGAAATAATTAGGAGATATATTGGAATATATAGGAAATACCATGGTTCAAGAAGAATGAATGAAAAATACTACTCACATTTGATGAAAGTGGGCATGTAGCAAGGGTTGTTATTAAGCCACTCTCATCAAATGATATTTTTTGTTTATTCCTTGAGAACCACAGAACTACACATTTATAAAAAACCCATTGACTATGATATAATTTATTAATCTGAGAAAATAAATATTGGATATAAAACCGTGCATGAAATTAATTTATTGAAAAATCAAGAGATAATTGACAGCCAATCAACCAATCAGAAACAAGTATTTTTGTATATTTGTAAAAGAAAAAAACCCAATAGAAGTCACCACGTGCATGTGATATCACAGATTGAAATAGAATTCAGATACCCATCATGAGTACATAAACATTTTGAACAATGACATTCTACTTAGAACTGCAATGCTGCATGTGTCAATTTTTACCTGTTTTGAAGCCCCTGGGTGCCGATAGTTTAATAACTTCCTTCCATCAGTGCTGTCCTTACCAATACTCAATATTTCAATATAATATCTTGCCAGTACAACCTGTAAGATATTTAGTTTTATTTCTAGATTGCCATTACCATTCAGAATTTTTTCATAAATCAATTGTTGTTGTTGAAAACTAAAATAAAAAACAATGAAGATTAAGATATTCAGTGTTACCTCTTTCATTCCATATGCAGGTCTGTCTTTATCCAGGTGTGGTAATAGCAATCGTATACCAGGATACAAAGAGTCAGTCTAACAATGGGAAAAGGCATAGAAGAATTTTGTAACAAATTTAATAAAAATTATGATATTTTTTAATGATTAAAGAAAAAATACTATATAGCCTGGCTCAATGCCATCCATATTATTGTATCAGGGGAAAAGATAACCCAATAAAAATACCAAAATTATTCTATAAGATAAAAAAAAACATGGCTATATAGGGGAAACAATTTTCGAGTTGCTGAAGTTGCAGTGTAGCGTGCCTCACCTCATTTTCAAACATCGCGAGGCAAGTTGCTAAGAAAATTGCACAATGCAACGGGACCTTTATTGCATATTTGTTATGTCCATGGCACAATAAACGACTGTACAAAGTTTGGGGAAATGGTATTTCTCCTTTTATTTCAAGGGGGTAAACTTAACTTCCAGGTTGTCCCATCAGTTCACTAGTCTAAGATGACTGAATATTTTATAGACCCAGCAATAGTATTCAGCTATGAAAAAGACTAACTACACCTTTTGCTGTTCATTAACCGCAAAGGAATATTCATTGAAGCGAAGAAGCATTGTCATTAGAGCGAACAGGCATACAATAAGGCGAACGGAGTCTCAATAGTGCGATGGAACGTTCATTAAGAAATTTAGCATTGAATTTGACAATCATGAATATGTTTGCGTAAGTTCATTAACGTTTTCAAACTTTCATTAGCGTTTTGGTGCAGTCAATAAACCACAACACGCATTCAATACAACGTTTTGGACATTTATTTACGCAATACAAAATAAGTATATTGTGCTTTTACGATTGTACATTTTCAAAAACAAAAAAGTGAATTTATCCTTGAATG